CGCGGTAACGTTTCCTCGACCCGTGGATATCAATTAAAAATGATTCTGTTGTACCCGCGCGTCACGTGACATGAACGACGCGGGGCGGATCGTGAAAAGCGACTCGACGGTATTTCCATTAAATTCGCACGAGCGGTGTACAAATGTAAACATAAATGCAGACGTGCATCGCGGTACGTGTCGCGTATATGCGGCGAGGTGTCGCCAAGTTCGCCCCGTATGCTAAAACACGGTTCGCTTTCGAAATAAATCGATAAGATCACGGTTGAACAGATTTCAAATTAATGTCAATGCAGAACGCCGCGCGAGCCACGAACAGGGCTTATTAATGCCTCCGTCGTGCACCGGTGGTGATGTTAGACCGTTCCTAACATTATTATGACGCGGTATATCGTGTACGGTAGGACGGCTCGCGGATGTAATATTAATGTAACCGAAGGAGAAATTGAGAGGGGCACGGCAGATGACAGCCGTCCGTTTTACGCGGTATAGGTGTAATTATTTTCCGTCTTAAATAGGACGGAACGCGGATGGTTCTGAGCAATTTCAGCACAAACGGTTCCCAGCGCAGGTTTCTTTTTCGTTACGTTTAATTGCAACTATCGCCGCGGACATAATGTGTTAATATAATTGGCTTCTTTAATAGAGTCTCTGTTATACTTCCTAAGGCAGTGACGAGCCGTTAGTCAATTCGAGTTTAATTAACAGCATCGATAAGTGATAGAAACGGATACGTATATTTCGCTTCGTTACTGATAACGTTAACTGTTCGGGGAGGGGACGGAAAAGTGTTGGTACCTACCCGGTTGAAGGAATGATGCGACACGCGGCGACGTTAACGGATTCATTAATTGAAACGGTATTTGAACGGCACCGTTGTTGCTAAGGATCAATCGACTGATTCGAGGATCGTCTTACCTTATATAGGATCATACTGTTATATCACTCGGGGAAAAATATGTATAGTGAGGACAAGTTAAGATTAATGATCGAAAACTGGAATTAGGCCTCTCACATTTGCGGTTCATTATTTATTGAAGATAAGTTCTTAGTTTAAATGATTTTGTTATCTTTCTTATGGACGATGTATCAAGAAGCTTAGGGTTCGAATGAATAGGCCACGTCTAATTATTACCTGCACGCGTGTACACTGTTTTATTTGTTTAATGGAATAGCTGGCAGTTTGTACGTTTCTGATACAGTTATGACGTACGGATATCCCTAAGTGCGATGTAGTTAGACGGTAGCTTTCAAAGCGAAATGAGAGAAGGCCGGATAAGGTAATGTCTTAGCAATGATACTTGCTACGCTTTCGTTCGCACACGCGGATACGACCGATTTGTAGCGATCATTATCTAACATGTCCCGGTATAACACAATTATTTGCACCGGTAGTAAGACTGGTCGAGTTCCATGCAGATATCTATTTCGACATGACAACCGGAGAGGCTGGGCAAGGAAAAAAGAATCGTAACCCGTGTGTCTTTACAATTGTGCGTCAATCCAGCCGTTGTGAGACTTCGGTATTCGCGTTGTTGAAATAATTGTTCGGAATTAGTAAGGCTAACGGTGAAACATGAAAACTGCCGAGGTCTGAGGAATGCAGTTCTTTTTTTTTTTTTCCCCCTCGCCCCGCCAGAGTATTCTAACGCGCTGCTTTTGTTCTTACAATTAGAGGAAACTTCCAATCTTGACTGTGATCCTCCGTATCATAAATAGCGACGCGCTTTATTTAATTTCAAACAGTATTATCGGACTGCGCCAATTTCATCTCGACACCGACCACGTGAAAGTCGCATGTTCATCATTAAGATTCCTCCTGTATTAACGCTAAAATTCGTGACTTTCTACTCGTTACCGGAAATGACGGCTACGATCACTGCCGCGTTTAAACGGTCGATTTTAAAAGTAGCTTTTTATCGACTGCAATAACAATGACTTAGTTAGTCGGTTTCTTCGCGGCATTCCGCGTGTCGCGGGATTTCGTCACGCTTATTAAATGGGATACCCGTTGAAAAACGATTGCGCCCCGTCGATACAGAGTGTCGTTCCGTCGACAGCTAATCTAAATGCGTGATAAAATTCTAGTTTTGTCGTTGGAATCGCACGAATTATTCGAGTACCATTCATGGCGCCCCGCGGTGCGCTTCGCGCTCGCATCCAACGCAGCGGTGAGCTCTCGCGTCCGCTGATTGCGAGTGGTTAGCTGCTCGATGCAATTATCCAAGACAGTTCTTACGCCTCTGGAGTGTGCGTGTACACGCCGGCGTGTATACACACGCCGTGCGTCGCGCGGAGCAGGTACAAGTTAGAGCAGGTCACTTTCGCTGCCGGCTCGAACTGTTCCACTCGTCGCGCACGCGTGCTGCTCCATTCATAAACCTATACATAGACCCGCGCGCCTATGTGCCCGGCACCGGCTCGGGCAACGTAGGTGTACATTTCGCAGGTAATAGTAAATACACGGAAATGCACTATATGCCAGTAAACGCGGACGTAATTCCCCTGGCCGATCTGTCTTAACGCTTTGCGAAACGCAAATCGGCCGCGTGGAAAAAAACAGCTGGGTCTCATAGTGCTCGAAAGCGTTAAATTCTGCTCTCGAACGCGATTCAATGACTCGTACAAAGATGCTGCGTTACATAACGCGAAATTATGTAAAATGTTAGGCGCCGAGTTTTATGCGCCGTCTGATATATCTAGGTTTTCATGCACCGCCGCGATTATGCTCGGTCGTATCTACTGAAAGAGATATAATAGATGATCTAATATTCCGTTGAGGAGGTTTCGCTCGGGCTAGACAGCGCGCACGTTTGTTCGTTAAACGCGAAGTTTCGTAACCTTTCAATTAAGAGCCGGAGTGCCGGGACGACGGTACGGCGCGCGTTCTTTAAAGTGGGATAAACCCGGGAACGTATGCGGCCCGCCGGAGCTCGCGCTGGTTCGTATTTAAGAGAGGAGACCCCGAGCCCGGCGATGATTTAGAATCGAGATCGATAACCTGATTGCCGTAGACGCCTCTGACTGGGTTTATCGATAACATCGTCAGGGTGTTTGTCTCGCGATAAAATGAGCTGACAGCGATCGATCGCTGAATCCGATGGATGGATCGATAATCGGATTTACTTGATCTCGACGTGCGCTCGCCCCGTTAGAAACCGCGGGATCGAGGAAAGGATGAGTAATATTTGTATGCCCGACGCGTACCGAACAATTCACGCATTGCACGTCGCGATAAAATATCGTATTAGAACGTACAAATTTATGGAAAGACGTAATTTGTAATGAATCGCGTGTAACACCTTTGTGTTATCTGAGCAGATGCTGTTGCATAACTATAATACTCATCATTTCTTCTGGAGTTGCAGTTCATTGACGTTAGGCGCTTGAGGTCAAGCCTAGCCGTAGAACTTTCCTATGGAACAGTCACGTTGGAACTTTTATTGCGCTTCATTAGAACTTCCATGACATGTGTGGAATTCTACGAAACTTCATACGATAGAAAGTGCCCGTGCATGTATTCCATGCTCCTTTAGCTTTGTACCCCTTCAGAATTACATTTACTCACTCTGGTCTTTGGCGCATTTTAAATATATTAGACTAATGGATATGAAACATTTTCTTGAAACGCAACAGAGTGTATATCCCTTTCGGTAGAATATCACATATTTAATTCAAATAATTTATTTGATACTTCTATACTTTATTAAATCATTTCATTATAGATTTAAATCCTCGAGTCTGTAAATTTTTTAGATGATACATTCATAGTTTCATTATATTGCTTCGAGTAATTCCAGTGTTATCCAATTTGTTTTCACTAGCTTTTATAATAATCGTATTTCAAAACTTCAAGTAGATATAAATAGGTGATAGAGTCGAAGTTATCGTGTTGCCTGACTGTAGGGAACTGCACAGCTTATAGGAGTACAAGGGCTCGTTGTGAAAGTGTAGTAACGAGATTGCGAATGCCAATGCGGATTTTTCCACAAATCGTATAGAAAATGTTTGTACTACATTATGCTGGATTTAGAATTCACCGTAGTTCCTCTCCTGGAGGCAAGAACCCCAAAGCGAAGCAATAAAATTTAATTCATCTTAGTTTTCGATACAACTAACAATAAAAAGATACATAATGACAGCCTTATGTAATTAATACCTCGACGTCGCTAACGCTGTCATGAGAAGTCTACATTGGATACCTTGTGAATCTTCAGTACTCCGTCTGATCATAGTCGTCTTATTTTACTTATGGAACTTACCTTTACCTTAAGAAAATATTCTCTTAGATTATAAGGTGTTCTAATGATGGGGAAGTAGATGGAAATGATTGGATAAAATGGAAATTCTCTCGCAATAGCCAGATAACGATCTAAAATAATATGTACACAGGAAACTCGACGAGCAAAAATATTTAGCTGTTGATTAAATTGCAGGATGCTCGATTAAGGAGCAGGAGGTTCGCGTCGGGTGCGGTAGCTACAGATTGTGCATCTCTTGTTGTGTTTGTTCGCTTGAATATTAATCGATTATTAATCGACTATAGTCGTGTCGGGTTGAATAATTTAAATAAAGACCGGGTGCGTCATGGGCCTGGCCCTAATACTGTTCACCGCGCCCATCGAAATTATGCCATTGCATTCTGTTCTCAAACGACACAGTGCGACATTCAACTTTCAATGTATATAAAAACGATATCACTGAGATTATATTTAAAAGACATAATAGTTTTACATGGTCAAATTCGTAAAGTTTGTAACTGAATTAAATTGAGTGCAATTTCCCATTTCTTTAAATTGTTGTGTTATAATAGTATAGACGATAGTTGAAAGAATGAACATTTTAAATGTGGAACTAGCTTTTACTGGGTTCCAGGATTTTAATTGAATAGGCTCGAGAAACGAGTAGAATTATGATAAAACCTCGCCGTTACTGGTTAAGTTTCTCAGCGGTCCCGCAGACTAATTTCTAATGCAGATACGTACGTTTGTATGTTGCAGGTGACGTACGCCGAACGGGCCAGTATTCATGCCAGTATGCCAATCAGATGCCAGTAGACAGCCAGTATCTGTATCTGTCGCCATCAGTAGCCAATTAATAAGTTACTTACGATTAGATAGTTAAATTTGTAGGCAATACATCACCGTTTTGGATAATCATTGGCAGAGAACGTCGTTTAATAGGCGTAACGGATGTACACGTATATGCACAGCGTGTTGAATACACATTCACGTGCGGATATACATGCTCGCGTGTATAATATAACCGAGAAGCAATAAGTATCGAGTCGCGAGCAATTATCTTCACATCGTCAAACCTACATTTTTTTCTCCGACCACAATTTTCTCCGCTCCGTTCGTCGGTTTCTTTTCTTTTTTTTTTAATCATCGGTGACCGCGTGTTCTCGGCGAGAGTATATTCGCATAAAAATTGGACAGAGTGCAATCGGGTTGTGATTATCGAAGTGGACTGACCGATCGATTTCTCGGCTGTGAAGTGAATTAATACTCCAGGAAAACGATTGAAACGGAGAAAGGAAGTGAACAGCGTACACACAGGCGAGCACGGTGGCTGGAAACGCTGACTTACAACGAGAGCGCCAACCTGCAATCAAGGTTCATGGTTTTCATGGTGAGTCATCGTACTTATTTCTATGAATTTTAACACGGTTACGGTTTCTCTACGCGATCTCCACCGCGCATTGTCTTATCTCGCTTTTAAACTGACGCGAGCGTCGAACGAGCGGTGGGAATTTTGTACCTATCTGTAGTCTCCTGTTAACGAGTCGCCGCGACAAGGGGTAATGTGTTGCATAAAATTTCACGCGCAAAATTTCGTGACTTTTTTACACTTGATTTCTCCTCGTTTTTATCCCTTTTTCCCTCTTTACATTTTTTTTTTTCTCCCTGCCGGCCACTCAATTACGGATCAGTCGGCAGACCCGTTATGAGCGACGCGATTTTATGCAAAATTTCCTCCGTGACGAGACGCCGCGTCTTCCACGAAATATATAGCACGTGTCACGTGCAATTTGCATAATGCGACATCGACACTTCTTCGATGCACCGAAACGTTATCTTTATACGCGTCGTATCGTTTCATATCGCGGATCATTGGATTATTGAGCGCGCGGCTCAAACGGAACATCCGATAATGGCGAATTCGAGGAACTGAAACTGTCTCGTAAATATCGATAAACAAGGACTACCGAAAGTATTATAAACTTCCGTCGGTCGCAATTTATTGTCATTGCTCTTTATCGTAGCTTCGAGGTAATATTCAATGGGCATTGCTATAACTGTTTCGATAAAAGGTATCCGCAGGCTCAATATCTCATAAATATACAGAAAGTTTCTCGAATTTCTACTCCGTACGCGTCATTCCGTTTAAATCTGGACGAACTTTTGCAATCTTACTTCGGATGGTATTTCAGGTACCATATAGGTGCCATTGCGCCGGGCAAGTTTCTTGTCAATTTACTTCGACTCAATGTTAAAATTTGTTTTAATCATTAACGCGGAGGCTATCAGTGTGTTACGCAAATTAGCGTAACCGGGAATAATTTCGAAGATATTATCCCATAACTGTGGCTCGCTAATTAACAAAACCGTTGAAGCAAGGGCTCGCGTCGGACATTCGATCCGTTCGATTTCTCCCGGTTATGCCATTCGGTTTTGTTGCCCCTGTTGGGACATTTCGAGGGTGCAACAGGAGACTCGCAGGCGAGAGAAAAGAGGATACAAAGAGGGATCCACCCGGCAGGTTACGGGTCAGCCACGGTGGGGCATTAATAATCGTTTACAATCTTTAAACCAGGGTGTGGCGAGTGCGTTAACCCTCCTCCTCTTCCTCTTCTTCCTTCTGTTTCTCCTACTCCTCTCTCTGCTTCCTCTTTGCTTTTTCTTACTCCCCTTGCTTCTTCGTGATCGTCCGTGGCGGGCAAAACAGGAGGAAAAAATCCGGCCTTGCCTTCGTAAACCAGTTGGACGTATATATCGTGAAAAAAGGATAATCAATGGCGAAAGGGTACACATCCGATCTGTAGTCGTTTTATCGTCGTCGCGACGCAAGTACGATCGAAGAATTTATTTTCGAATCATTGAAAAATCATTTCGCTGATTCGGTAATTTGCAAAACCGTAGTAGTTGTTTCCGTGGTTAGTTTTTCACGCTGCCGGTCTCGGGTTAAGTATACTTCGCTGTTAGTGCTTTCATAGTCTATTTCTCGGCGATAAAACGAATTTACGCGTGGCTGAAACGCTATTCTTAATGCAAAGTGCAGGCGTTTAGATATCTGAATGGTTCATTTCGGAAGTAGAGGCCGAGGATTAAAACCGAGAGACTAACGTCACCGGGAAACTCGATAAACCGGTATTGGACATTCGTCCACTAAATTTTGCCCACTGTACACCGACTCGCCTTGAATAAACATTCTTTAAATTAGGAAGTAAACAAGCTTCTGGGATTTATTTTATTTCGCGTTGTTACTCGATCGAATAACGTTTTGTTACGTCGTCATCGTGCGTGAAGGTTCCTATTCGCACGTGTTCGGTACACCGTCGTCATGCATGTGTTTCATGAACGTGTCGCGCTTCGCGGTCAACGATCATCGTCAGCGTGTTAGAAAGCGTTCGACCTTAATGACTCTTGACGCTTAAAGAGTTCGAAGGAAGTGCCGGTGAAAAATCATTGAAATCGAAAACGCGAATTCGAGAAGAATTGTTGCTCGGCTCGTGAAAATTTTTCCGTTTCTTTATTCACGGTTCATTTATTGTTAACGGTAATCATAAATATGTATGCGATGTTTCCGCGACGAATCGGCGATCGCGTCCATTAGATCCCGGCGAGAAAAGAATTGGTTCCTCGGAACCCGTTCCTCCGACACGCGCTCCTATCGGCTCTCCCGTGAAAATCGGTCGTCGGCCCCTTGGTCACCTTCTCGGGCGTTCTCGCCGTTTAACCCGCCACCGCCGCCACCTGCAGCGACGAATCAGCATATTTAGCGTCGAGTCGAATTTAATAGAGGTCATCGCTCGTGCATCACGCGGGCTTCATTCGCGAGACGCATCAATAATATTCGCCGTGATGCATAGCATTAAGTATGCATGGTAACCTCTCGCGAACCCTTTTTGGAATTCAATTCGTGATTCTGCCGTTTGTTCGTTTACGCCGCCGAGATACGTTCACGGTTCAAACGCATTTGCATCGTGACGTGCATTACGCTCGACACGTGCTACGGTTATCATCGTGTGTCGCGACCTTCCTCGACATTCCGATGCGATCCGACTCTATTTTCTATGCTTAATAGAGCAGTGGTCAAACCTTGATAGAACTCGAACGAAATAATTTATGTAGAAAAACAAATTGCGTACACGTGTTACCTTGTTGATGCGTGTAAAATACTATCGTCGCCCGGGAGCAATTTTCTTCCGAACGTAGATTTATGCCACGGCCTTCCCGAGTCGGTTTCATTATGCAAATACAGATATTGTTTTCAATTATTATTCAGACGGTAAAACATCGACGATACTCGGGACACTTGGATAACGTTCGCCAAATAAGTTACTCGTTTATACGCATCGGCAAACGCGAGTCAATAAAAATTTTCCTCGTCACAAGTGCGCGTTTATCGGTCATATATCACGGGGTAACCAGTGGGATACTTAACAGCCGTGAATGCCTCTCGAATAAATTCCGTTGAAGGGTGGAGACGGTTCAACGTTTCCAGCACGCATTACTCGCGAATATATTTTTCTTCCGTGGATATTAAAAGCCACCCGAGACCCGCGGCATCGTTGAACCGCCGCCGCCGCCGCCGCCGCCGCGCCGCGCCGCACCGCACGGTGCTCTATTGGACGTGAAAAATGAAAGAACACCGTGGCACGATTCATCACCCGCGTACCGCTCGCAGTCCTCGTGAAAGTGATGCATGCTCCTTGCCGGAGACGATACGCTGAATACCATTTGTTCCCGTTGCACAAATACATACAGTTGATAATGCAACTAATTTTCATTCGTCTTCCCTTATCAGCTGATAAGACCCGTTGAATATCTTATTCCCGGATTTTCTGTCTGGCGTCGAGAAATCCAACGATTTTCCTCAAATGAAAATATGGGTGTGTACCAGGAATTCTTCCATAAAGATTGGAAAACACGATCTTGCTGGAAGATTTTAATCATCCGCTTAGAATATTTTTACATCCGCGCTTTCCCAGCGGCGACTAGTCGCAGGTTCATTTATATTACCGAACGTGGGAAATAGGAAATATTAAAAACCGCTTAACGTGAGCAATACTATCCCCATTTACATAATGCTTCGGATAGAAATTCTGCTTCAGACGTAACTAAACAAGCCAATTTTTAATCAATAAAAGTAACAGTTCCTCGGACGTCCTTAGTGCTTTTAATACTCGTCTTTATTTCCGTAATAAAAAGTTAAAAATATACATCCGTTTCCCATTTCCAGTGAGACGAAAAAATATCGATAAGTACAAGCTCTTAATATTAAGCTTTAAATTGTCCGAAACGCGTTTCGATGGCAAGCCTTAATCTTTATACGACGGCTGTTATTTTAACGTTCAGTCTCACCTATACAGCCTCGCCTTATTTTTATTGAAGCGACGCGGCAATTTTTGTCTTTACTCTTATCTGTCGCGTACCAGCCGCACGGCACAGGATGATCGTCCGCGGCGCGTTTTCAACGTGACACCCACGCGGGTATTCGTGCGCTCGCGCTGCGTCGGTACCCTGCCCGGTTAATTGTTCCAATGGATTTAAAGTCGGCTCGCCGAAATAAATGAACGTCGCATGCCAAGGCGCGGTACGCCGCGCCGTGGCCAGATATAATACGGTCGTCACGGATTATATCTCTCTCAAATGTACTTAAATGCGAGCGGAACTCTGACGCAAACGTTTGAACGTGATACATTTTAATTGTTCGCTAAAAGTGTCACGTTTAAATGAAAATTTAGAATCTCGCACGCCTCGTCGCTCGGTTATTAATTCTTATCGCGACTCAAGGATGTATTGGCTGTATAGTCAATACCAAAAGTTAATGTACCTTAGAAAAACGCATTTCCTATAATTAAAAATAGTGCATTCTTCTTCCAATTTCGATATTTAACGAGTTAAGTATGATTATTTGGCATTTTATTGATGTTGACAAAATCCGACCATCCCAGCGTCGAAACGGCGAACTTTTGGAAAAAAATTTCGTTTTTCCTCAATAACTCCTAAACCCTTGGAGATACGGGAAAATTGCATAGGACCTTTTTTGGAGAGGACAACGAGATCTACAATTTATGTATAAAAGTTTTTCGCTAGTATTAATAGNAATCACTATAATTTTAGCTTTTTAATAGTAATAGGAATCTATAATAACCAATTCAACATGCCAGCATTGTTTAAGTATATGTGTAGCCTATACATCCTTAACGTGAGCTATTGTGAAACTTTAATTGGCTCGTGTCTCAGCTGCCTGCCACTCAGGCTATGGCTTTATTACGTATGGATCTAAATATTCAACGGTTTTAAATGATAATTGAACAGTTTCATTTTTATTTCAATTTTCTTTCGGTTTGGAATATTACAAGTGCTTGAAAGCTTGGGACCACTTGACAGTATCAATAATTT